TGTTGAAGACTTTCCCTGGTATTGACAGTAGTGTTATGCCTCTGTAGTTTTCACATTTGCTCAGATCTTTCTTTGGAATCTTGATGAGGTGTCCTTCTTTCCAGTCCATCAGCACTTGTTCCTCCTCCCAAATCTTTTTGAATAGAAGGTAAAGCATGTTTGTAGTTACTTCGATGTCTGACTTCAGTGCTTCGGCTGGTATATTGTCAGTTCCTGCTGATTTCCCACTCTTGATTTGTCTGATGGCCATTCTGATTTCTTCGGTCGTTGGTGGGTTGACGTCTATGGGAAGATCTGTGTGTGCCGCTTCGATGTCCAGTGGCCTATTCAGGAGTCCCTCGAAGTATTCTACCCATCTGTTCCGCTGTTGTTGAATTTCAGTGATTGGCCTGCCTTCTTTGTCTTTGACCGGTCTCTCTGTTTTACTGTATTTCCCTGATAGTTTCTTCGTTGTATCGTAAAGTTGTTTCATATTTCCTTCCCTTGCAGCCTTTTCGGTCGTCGTTGCTAGTTCTTCCGCGTATTTCTGCTTGTCGGCTCTAATGCTTTTCTTCAGTTGCTTGTTTACTTCTATGTATTCAGCTTGTGCTTGGACTTTCTCTGTTCGTGTTCGGCTGTTGTTAATTGCTGTCCTCTTGTTCTTCCTTTGTTTGAACTTGTCCAGTGTTTCTATAGAGATCCATTCCTTGTGATGATGCTTCTTGAAGCCTAGAACCTCTTGACACGTTGAAGTTAATGCTTCCTTGATACTTTTCCAGTTGTCCTCCATAGTAGTTTCTTCTTCCTTCAGTAGATCCTGTAAGGCTTGGAACCTGTTGTTGTGAGATATCTTGAATTCGTTGATTTTGTCAGTATCTCGAAGGAAGGCTGTATTGAACCTTTGTAGTGCTGTTTGTCCACTTGTCCAGTACTTTTTTAGCTTCAGTTTTAAATTGGCTACAACTAGGTGGTGATCTGAAGCTACGTCAGCACCCCTCCTGGTTCTCACATCTTCTATTGTGCTTCGGAATTTTTTATTGATGCAGATATGATCTATCTGGTTCTCTGTAGTGTGGTTCGGTGAGATCCATGTAGCCTTGTGTATACGTTTGTGTGGAAATATTGTGCCTCCTATGACCAATTTGTTGAATGAACACAGATTTGCGAATCTTTCTCCATTTTTGTTTCTCTCCCCCAGTCCATGTCGTCCCATGATATCTTCATATCCAGTGTTGTCTATTCCGACTTTGGCATTTAAATCTCCCATCAGAATGGTGAGGTCCTTTGTTGGGCACTTCTCTATGATTGACTGCAGCCGCTCGTAGAACTGATCTTTGATTTCGTCGTTGCTTTCATTGGTGGGTGCATAACATTAGATAATATTCATTGTGATCCCCTCCTTCTTTGTTTTTAATGATGCTTTGATGATTCTGGATCCGTGAGATTCCCATCCTACAAGTGCATTTCGTGCTACTTTGGACAGCATAAGAGCGACTCCCTGAGTGTGTGGAGCATTTCCCTCTTCGTGACCGGCGTATAGCAGCATCTCTCCCGTATTTAGCCTTTGTTTTCCAGCTTGGGTCCAATGGGTTTCGCTGATTTCCAGTACTGCCAATTTGTATCTCCTCATTTCCGTTGCTATTTGACTGGTTTTCCCGATCTCCCACATTGTTCGGACGTTCCATGTACTTATAAAAATTGTTGCTCTGGTTGTTAGAAGGAGCATCGGCCACGTGGCTTTGGAAGGAACTCAGCTTTCACCATGAAGTGTCATAATTCTTCTAAATAAAGACCTAACTCCCAGGGCAGAGTTTAAATGGTTTGAATTATTTTTTCTGGTTAGCGTATTTTTAGCGAGTTGGTTTTCTACGGGATGGGGTCGCTAACTCCATGCCCAACCCTCCTCCTTTACCCTGGCTTGGGACCAGCAGTAACTCTAGAAGAGCTACAGGCGGAGTTAGTAGGTGTTGAGGTGACATATTTTTCATTAGTAACGTATGATTACTCTGGAATTTCATTCTCTTTTATGCAGCGTTAAATAAATATAACATCACAGCTTTTAACCCATATATATATATATATATATACACTCTAAGTTCATCTCAGTTGTTGTCATCTCATATCTTCAAGTTGAAATGCCGATGATATGATTTTGATTATCTTGTTATCACATTTTTGTGGATCATTTCAATGTTTATAATCAGTGTCATTTCATCCGAAAGGAATAGTTTTCTCGTCACTGTTTTACTTTCTTAATGCTACTGTTGTCGTCTTTACATATGCACGAATAGTGAAAGCCAGAGCGGCTTATGCCAATCTGGGCTACCTTTGGCGCCTTCGTGATGTTAGTCTGGCTGTAAAAGGCTGGATCTACAACGCGTCGGTGAGAGCAGTTTTGCTCTATGCTTGTGAAACCTGGCCTCTCCGAGTTGAGGACGTTAGACGACTCTCTGTGTTCGATCATCGCTGTCTCCGAAGGATTGCTGACATTCAGTGGCAACACCATGTCAGTAATGCAGAGGTTCGGTATCGTGTGTTCGGGCACAGAGATGATAACTCAATTGGTGTCACCATCTTGAAACACCGACTTCGGTGGCTTGGACATGTTCTCCGAATGTCGTCCCAGAGAATTCCACGTCGTGCATTATTTGTCGACTCTGGGACTGGTTGGAAGAAGCGGAGAGGTGGTCAGTGCATGACATGGTGTCGTGGCATGAAAGAAAGCTGCAAAGGACTGGCTTGTGTTGGTCCTTTACGACTCCCTGGCTGGGGTCCGAGAGATGGTGCTACACAGTGGCCAGAGACGTTATCAGATATGGTTCAGAATAGAAGCCAGTGGCGATCCTGCTGTAACCTTCTTTTACTTTCTTCATAAAAAGTGGTTGTGTCTCCTTTACCTGAAAGATTTCTTCTGATTGTACCTTTTCGTTCCGTCGTTACTACCACACTACCTTACTCCAATCTCTTCGTCATTGTTCTCTTTTTCTTTTGCGTTCCTTAGTTTTTTTTCTTTCCTTCTACTTCTCTTCGAATTCTCATTGTTTTGTGTGGCGCATATATATTGGCGCTCTCTTGTACCAATATTTATGTGTTCAAATAAATAATAAATAAATAAATAATACATATTCCTTGTGACCAATAAATTTTCTTGAAATTGTAATTTGTATTTTAGGATCATGATTGGAGCCTTTGACAGAACTGGGGAATTTCGAGCATGTACTCAATCACTTCATGATCGACTGCTTTCTGGTCGTCTACGCCTCAAGCCCCCTCACCCTAAGTACTTGCACTCAGTTGATAATACTTACACTGCTAATCTCATAGCTAAGTCGAAGCAAATGTCTGAGGAACTGAAAATGACTGTTTCGAAGATGACTAAATTAAGAATTTTGTTTCAGGAACCATCACATTCATCCCCTGAAGCCCTTAGTAAACTGATTGAAGTAATACAGTATGATATAATGGATTTAAACAAAACTAAACTTCAATTAAAAGCCAGTGTATCCGAAGTTAAAGAGCATTCAACTGCTGGTGTTCAGCACCTAAGACACATAGATCTTATTGTTATTGGATTAGAATATCATCTCTCATTTCTTGTATCTGAGTTTCGTGTTGTATTGGAGGAACATAAAACTTCTCTTTCGGTGGACTCTAGAAAGTCAGAGGCTAATATTCAGATGAATAATGATCTAAATCCATTGACAGAATATGCTTCACACTCAAGGATTATGAAAACTAATGAGCCCTCCTCAATCAACCCTACTTCAGACAATTCTATTCCGAACACTCACCCTATAAATGACCAGTTACAAGGAAACAAGAAGCAACAATGTTCAAGTAACCCTTCGAATCCCACTATGTCACTCTTAACACCTGTATCTTACTCACATTCAACTTCAAGCTTACCATCTGTAATGCCCATCTCAAAATTGAATGGCACTCCCATAGTTAATCGATCTGAAGTTTATAACTCATTTCAGGTGAGTAAATCATATATATATATATATATATATATATATATATATATATATATATATATATATATATATACCGAATGTGCTATGACTGAAAAATAGTTGAATACTGTAATATGTACAATCATTCACTTGGTAAATACTATTTTTGTCTACAGTTTTATAACCACTAGGTCTCATCTTTTAGATACCTGAAGTGAAAAGTGGCATATAGACACTGTCAAAACATATTATTATATTTTTATTTCGTTCATGTCTAACTCCTCAATCTTCTGATTAAGCGGCGTACATCATAGTGTGTTTATGTTCCCCATTTACAAGAACAGTTGTATTTTTCGTAGGAGTAGTAGGTTGTAGTAAGTTTACAATTTTTTGTTAAAATACCATTCTAAATGTTTGCTTTTCATTTGACAGTGTATATGAGTTTCTTTATTGTATATTCTATTCATTATAAATAGAGTGTCCTTTTAATTTCTTTATTAGGCGGAAAAAACTAGTCGAACACCGGAACAACTCCAAATATTTGCTAGTAATCCGCATGTTTCTCTCATTGACCAGGAAGTTCGTCAACGTGATGCTGCAATTCGGCGAGTGGAATCAACTATTGTTCAACTTGGAGAGATTTACCAACAATTTTCTACTTTAGTACAAGAACAAAATGATTTAGTTTTACGAATAGATAGTCAAACAGATAATGTGGAAATGAATATCAGTGAAGCTCATGCACAATTACTAGTGTTTATGCGACGAATATCTGCACAAAGAGGATTATTAATTAAAGTTTTCATAACTCTTATTTTATGTTTTGTGGTATTTGCATGGATAGTGAAATAAATTTGCTCAGTATTTTTGAAAACCATATCAATCCAGTCTTTCAGTAGTATTGATTTATTAAATTGTTGAGCGTTTTATCTTCCCAATTTACTTCTAATTGAATAACAAAATCTGTTATTGCTTCTCTATGTTTTCATCTCTTTTGTTACGTGTCATTGAATTCTTGACCAGTTTTGTACACTGTTAGTTTTCACGAAAAAATGAAATATTAAAGGAAAATAAGTATTCTCATTCCTAATTATCATTTTCAAGGTAGTTTCTCAGTTTTGGATATTTTCACAGATGTCTGAATGTGCAATGGTTCTTGATTCTGTTGATTCCTGCGGAAAATGTCCTACTGATAAAAATATCCGCTTACCTTCAAAACGCCATTACCGTCAAAGAGCTCATTGTAATCCCTGGTCAGATCATACACTTGATTATCCCTTAAAACCGGAATTGATGGATTGGGAGAAGTTATTTGGAGGGAACCCAGCATCTTCATTGTCTGTGAACAACAACTCTTTTGATCCTATTGTTCGATTTTTAGATGTGGGTTGCGGCTATGGTGGATTGTTGTTTAATTTATCTACTTTTTATCCATTTACCCGAAGTGTAGGCTTAGAAATACGTTTGAAAGTTTGTGACTTTGTTCAGGTAGGTTGACTTTATTAGTTTCTGTATTTATATATGTAATCAGTTTTAATGAAAATGTACTATAAGTTTCAATTTTCGTCTCAATCAAATTCATTATCTAAATGAAGAGAAAAAGTTCTGTGGATTACCAGTTAATTAATATTTTGAAAAAAGGTATTCATTTTCTGTGGAAACGGTTTGGCACGAGATATGTGTGTTGGTTTAACTTCCCTTGAACGTCATTAGGAAAAGTGATTTTACCAGGGACGTATGGTGACTTTATGTGTTATAAAGCGAAATTATTTTTAGTTTCAAAATAAAATTAATAAACTTTTGAAATATCGTTGAAAATACTGAAATGTCAGTTGTGCTTTTAGGGGAAAAGTTATATGGCTTTGTTACATTTTTCAACTGTTCATTAAAAAAAATATATTCAAGTTTACTATTTACTTAGAGATTAAATAGATTCATTAAGGGTGGATAACATATTTATTTACACTAGTGAGCTTGGATTAAAATAAAATCTAAGTTAAATGGACCCATGTTTTTCAAAAAAAGTATTATGATTACGTCGTATAGATAAATAAATATCACTGAAGTGACGTTGAATTGTTCACTCTTAAGACGATACACAGTTGATGTGCTCTTTAATTTGCCATATACTTGGTTATATATTGTGAATCAAGTAAATTGGGTTATTGTTCTATATCATTATTATTATTATTATTATTATTATTATTATTATTATTATTATTATTATTATTATTAGCTTTATTCAATATTATAATTTTTGGTACAATATAGAATTCTCAGCGTTAAGTATTTCAACAAGCTTCCGTTTCTTTCTTCTTGGTCGGTCCTGGCGATAAATATTGAGGAATCGCCAGTTAGATGTTAGCACTTCAGTGAATGAACAACTGAATAATGTACATTCTTTTCGTTGTACATTGCCAGCAACCATATTGTCTCTTATTGAGTTTTCTGTAACTTTGACAACGAAAGGTTGTACACTTTTCAGAAACGCAGCAGAATAGGTTATGCGATTAATAAACATAATGATATATTAAACCAAACAACAATAGATAACTTGTTGAAATATCTAGATGGCAGGAACAGGTAGCCCAGATGCTCAAGCAGGCCGGCAGACCAACTTTTATTACTATATTGTCCTTTAGTTATACATAAGTTCTAAACTAATCATTTGATTGTGATTTATGTTACTTTTCTATCGTATCGCAATTTGTGAAATGTACTTGCATTACATGTAAATGTAGCATTTCATCTTTCACACTGTTTTGCGAAACAGATGCAAAAGTTATCAACGCCCATTTATTTGGTAGCTTGTGTGTAGAGTACAATTTGTGAACTTAGTATACTACCTGTAATTATGGATCTCTAGCCCCTTATGTTGTCTACTTGCAATAATTGTGTTATCGAGGATTCTGAACTCAAACTAATTACCTCCTTTAAAAAAAGGTAAACTAATTTATGTGAGACAACTGTCTAGATATTCTCCTATTACATTATACATTTACACTAAAGATAATATTGGTATTTTAAAGTACAGTTTTAAAATAATCGATATCAGGCGATTGTTTGTTAAGCTTCCTTTATTAATAATTCTACTTAGTAACCAAGTACAGAATTTTGAATCCAGTTTAAAGTAGGACGTAATGTAGGGAAACCTGACCATAGTTTAATAGCTGTCTGAACCAACTATTGGTTTTGTTTCAATAAAACAGCTTTTCATATTTATTAATCTAGGTAGACAATTGTTGTCAATGTGGTCAAGAATCTGAACACATCTTAGTTCATACCCCCCACTTACACAAACACTTACTGTCTTGATTTGAATTCACAAGTTGCGTCTTCATATCCTTGTGTTATGAAATTACTTCACAATCACAATAATTTATGTTAATTTTAGATCTGTACTCATTATTGTGTCCAAAAATTATTTTAACACTGTTATTTATTTTTTCAAACAGGAAAAAATTAAAGCATTGCGCGCGAAGCATTCTGGTCAGTATAATAATATAGCTTGTATTCGTACAAATGCGATGAAGTTTTTGCCGAACTTTTTCCATAAAGTAAGTTTTATTACTGATATGTAACACATGTATCTATCACCATAGTTATGAACACTAATATTGTAAGGTTAGTGTCAATTTAATACTAATTGTCAACTGAATTACTCGCTGACCTCGAGTTGTTTTCTGTACACTTACTAATTATCACTCAAACAATCCATAGTTTTAATTCACTTGGTATTGTTTTACTTGAATCTTCCCATTGATGTTTTAGGACTGAAATTGATCATTCTCTTATTGGCATATGTGCATACTGTGCGTATGCCTCGATATTGCCTTAATTTACAAGCATTATAAGCAAAGATGGATAGTGGCTAACAGTGGAATCCAGAACGCGCGTTTCGTCCTGTTTGGGACTCGTCAGCTGAATGTACCTGCATCTCAGAGTTGATGTTCACTCTGAACCCTATTGGACAAGCAAGTGGCTATCAGGACTCAGTAGCTAAGTGGATAATGCGATGGCGTTTGAAGCGAACGGTACTGAGTTCGAGTCCCAGAGTGAACATCAACTCTGAGTTGCAGGTACATCCAGCTGGCGAGTCCCAAACAGGACAAAACGCGCGTTCTGGATTCCACTGCTAGCCACTATCCATCTTTGCTTATAATCCATAGTTTTGTTAAAAATACAAAGTAACTTGTGTCAAGCATCACACCTTCCACTGTTTAACCGTTTCGTTCCGAAATTCACATAACGTACTTATTTTCAACTCATGTGCAAAAACAACCATTTAGGTTTAAAATTAATTAATCGTGTTGTGTTTCACCATTTCTCGAGTATACTGAATACTGAAATTCAAGTCACATTTATTTGCCTAAAGGGCTAGGTCAGACAAACTGAAACAGTTGAAACAGATTTCAAACCAACAACCCTGTGATTCGATGCTAAGTTTTTAAGCTGTTAAGATACTGGTATATAATATGACTTCTGTTTTACTCTCCACGTCTTCACATTTGTTTGTTGTAATTGATTAATACATTAGTATGTCACTTTTTTTGTTTTTAAATACAGGAACAATTACATAAAATATTCTTTCTTTATCCAGACCCTCATTTTAAACGTGTTAAGCATAAATGGCGCATTATTTCTCCTACTTTATTGGATATATACGCTTATCTGTTGATTCCTGGGGGAAAAATATATTCGACTACTGATGTACCTGATCTTGGTAAATGGATTGTGGACTGTTTATGTGCACACCCACTATTCCGTCCAGTTTGTCATGTTCACCTCAGTCCAGCAGTTGAGAAAATACAAGGTGCCAATGAACTACTAAAGATATCTACTTATCCGGATATATTTGAAGAAAATTCTCATTTTGTCAAAGATTCCGAATCCTTCCAGATACCTAAAGAATCAGACCCGGTATTGAAATTATTGGAACAAGGTTGTACAGAAGAAGCTCACAAAGCCTGTAGAGAAGGTCGGGAAACATTTCTAATTGTATACGAACGTATCTCTAACCCTTAAGTGTATATAAATGACCGTTCTTCTTACTCTAATAAAGTATATCATTAGCAGATAGTTGTAATCATTGTTGAACAACAGAAGTCCTCAATTAATTTTTTGATTTCGGTAGGCGAGGGTTTCATCAAAAATATCATTGATACAAACTGTGTGCCCATTGTTTAAAACAGTCGTCATTCGTAAGTATGTGTATAATCCCATCCACTAAGTGTTAACAACTAAGACTATTGTTGAATAATTCAAAGTGAATCGGAATGTTTTTGTCATTTACTGCCACTAATGAATTTTGACCAAGAATCATCCGGATATTCTATATGCTGACGAGCCAGTTACATGATTGAGCAATGACCTTAGTGGTAGCCCAGATGCACTGTGTACGTATTTTAGGCAACTTGTCTAGGATGTTTCGACCCAATCCTTTTGGCACGGTCAGAGACGTAATATAAATGGTCTTCATAATCTTTCTCCTCACATTGCGCTACTTAGATAACGGCATATGACTAGGTTGAATACCTAGATGACAAGGTGTGAGTGAGAAGCATCTGTAACAATGTTTTGTTGAGAAAGCAATTCGAACTTCATAAGTGTCTATATGGAGTCTAGTGTCGGGGACTAAAGGAATATCTTTCTGCGGAGACCCATTTGCGCTCCAACAGTATAGTGAGTGAGGATGACAGACTAGAACAAACCAGAGCAGCCATATCTGACTTCTCCATTCCTAGTTGTGTGTATTCTTATGCACATATCCACTCAATAACTAACTGACCGTTTCGACCGGGAACGCGTTTGCTTTAAATAAATCCTCTCCAATATGACTTCATGTCCTGACATATTTAAGTGTCGTGTTTCAACTCATGCCCATCAATAACAAGAATTCAGTGTTCAGAGGTGGGTCGTTGTGGTGTTTGAATGAATTAATGATTTCTTTGTACTTGTTGAATGCTCGGTTTAGAATTCTAAATACAACACATTCGTTTGTGGTTACCTAGTAGTTCTTGATCCTATTACGTTATTGCTGGGATTCCTAGTTCATACGATAATTCGAATACTTATGAACATTATAGTCGTGTATCGGTATTCGAGTCCCTTTGACCCAATTTACCATAAAAGTAGTAGGAAAGATGCTTAGCAGAAGCTCATAAGACCATCTTCGTCATTTAGTCATTCTGCTTAAAAATAGTTGTGGAGGTGCTCACGATTTCCATGAGCCGCACCTGACCACCAGGAAACATGCTACATAAGGTCTACAAATGATTGTTAGTACAAACCATATCTTTATTTCTGGATAATGTTCCTTTTACCCTTTTTAAGCTACAATTAGCGTAGACTGGAACTTAAAGTGGACGACCCAACACTTCAGACGAAAAATCTCTATAAATCATGTTTCGATATGGATGAACAAACATCGGTGGTTTTGACACTTAAACTTTCTTGATAATGCCTTCATAGTAAATGTTTCACTAGTAAATTTGTAGCGTGTTTTTGAGTTAACTGTATTCTCAAAACTGTTCTTAAGGGAACCAATGAACTCTTTTCTTGTAATCTGCTTCTGGTCTGTTGGATAGGTCTTTAATTGTGAAAATGTATCTTTTTTGATTTCCCTCTGAAACAGATTGGTGAAAGAAATAATATATTATCACTTGGAGTGATTTCAGACTAACAATCAAAGTAATTATTCTCCGTATTTTGGGTACTTTAGAAAGCCAACTTTCTCAGAATTGGGGATTCTCGAGTCGACACTTCGTAGGTGAATCCTATATCTATTAGGATCGAAAAATTTACGAAAGACACGATTGATGTGGTTCATGTCTCTCCGATTGTACAAAATTACGGGACTTATACGTTTAGAGCTTCCAAGAAGGCTTAGGAGGGAGTAACTGTATACCTAATAACATACTGGAAGAGATCTTCAAGAACGGAAGAGCACATAGTGCAAGAGTTGTTTCCTGGTGAGGTCTGTAATAATCTCTCCATCGTAGCACTCACGCGATTTATTCTGGTCAGACAAAATATACTAACCACTTCAGATATTCTGTACATTTACATTTGACCTAACCAAGCATTCAGATGTCTTGTTATACATACGATGAGTCACGTTGTTTAGGATGAATTTGTAGAATTATGGTCTACTATGATATTAGTGCTGCTCTAATAATAGACCTAATCCTAAATTTGTAGATTTGTCATGATATAACTGCCTAATCTATAAGATCTTACGTGGAAGTCACACCATCGACTACACCAACTCACTGTATCGTACCAATTACCAATACATGATGTAGAGCAAGGTTAGGCTAGAGAAAGAACAATATATTTAATATGAATAGAAGAAATAAGATAACATTCAGCAGGGACCACGCCTGCACGACCGAGCCATGCCGTTCGATCAACTCTAGTTCACTCAACTCATTGTTCGCGCCTTCTCCATTATTAGGTATTTCCCCGAGTTAAATATTGAATATCTATTTTCTGAGTAGTCTCGTGTTCACAGCTTTGTGGATTGTGTGGCTATTGTCCAATGCCACTACAAATTAACTAGTGTAGTAATTTCATGCTGTGCCTCCTCGTTTTTTATTTGCATGAGTATTTACTTATAGTTGAGTGCATAAAATAAGCATATCTTCATCGCATCTCGTATTCTTCTATTTTGTCTTGATATTTTAACAACGTGAGTTGGCAACGGCTGACTAACAAATTTAATATAGGACACGTGAATGGCAAACTTGAGATAGACACAGGCTACGAATGTCCTAATTAAACATTAAAAAGAGTTTCGAATGGTTCCGGAGTCAGGTGGCTTCATATTCAAGATTGAAACATCAAGAAAACATGCTTTGCTGACTGCAGAATGCCAGTGTAAAGAGGTATTTGGAGTATTACACATAGTGATGCCCAGGTTCTCTCCAAACACAAAGATACACAGATCTATGCAGAAAATTGAGGTGAAATACGTTGAAAACTTTTATCAAATGAACTTCATCACGGTAAGGAAATAATGGGATATAGCTTTTTACAAATAATATGCTGATTGACTGAATTGTCCTTACATAAGTTTATGAAAGAGCGCGAAGTTCGTCATTGGCCTTGACCTTCTGGCTTATTCAAGTTTGGTTTTTTTGTGTTAGTGGTTCACCTTTCCAATTGTTTGGAAGATTTTCCATACTTTTGGGGGCCACCACTTTTAAAAGCATTTCCTGTGTCATATTGGATGAAAAGTCGGTTCAAATCTCTCTTATCTGCTGACAACCCAATCTACCGACTTTGGAGAAACTGCCGTCGAAAATTTTGGGGAAATGCTCGAAAAACCCCAAGATTTTCCATGGTCTGGGGCATTGTGCGAAATGAGGCGAAATTCCTGAAAAATCCCTAAAACGCTTGAGGGACTCATGGGTTTTCCCAATATATTTATTGGTTAACCAATTCCAATCAATTGTTTGGGATTCAAAGCAAGATTGGACCTCCATAATGTTACAAACTGCAAGTACTATTGTAGGTCGATTGACCTCCTATCCTTAGTACTAAAGACTGAAAATTCCCCTAGACTTTGTGGAGAAGTGCGAATTTCCGTATGACGCTGTCGTAACTTCTAAAATTTCCTCAAAATTCAGAAATCAGGAAATCTTACTTCAAGTTATTGATTAAAAAATCGTTTAATTTTCTTCAAGCGGTGTTTCGTAATACTGTTTTCTCAGTGTCAGTAGAATATTTCCACATTATTGAGATTTTCAACCTAGTTAATTCTCTAAAGCTGTGTGTGCACACATATGCTGCAAATTGGGTATATGTTTAGATAAATATTCTAAGAGATGCAGTCTTTTTCACTGTCACTAACGTCAGTATGAAAGTTTATTCACTGTACCGTATTGTTCATCGTAAATTATTTGTTCCTTAGTGGTTTTCAGTTAGTAAAAACATCTCTACTATAAAGCTTTCTCTAGTGTATCTATATAAACTGCTAAGCAATGATAAAACTTCGGGGGTTCCCTTAGTTATATCTCCATTATTTGTCTTTTCACAACTTACTGCAGTTACTCATACTCTTGTATTTCAGTGTTATGCAACTAAACGTCATCATTTGACAATGAGGTTTTGCTTTCTTAGACTATCTTCTCAATGGTGTCTAACCTAGCGCCCATTACCTTTGCAAAATCACTCTGTTTTCCCTGTTTAAATCAGTCATATAGCACCATTTATTTATTTATTTAAACACAAGCATTGGTACAAGGAGGTACCAAACGCATATGTACCACGCAAATCATTCGATTTGTTTGAGGGATGGAATATTGTCCGGGTGCTCAAACTAAAGCAGGTGGTTTACTTATGAGATCACTCTTCGAGCCTTTGACCTAGAGGTCTAATCCACAGGGCAGTGGATTGGCGCAAGTAGATACAGTCCCATGTTATCCGTTGAGCAACCGTAGTTCAATACCCCATTTGTTCCCTCAGGATCCTGGAGCCCATATATGCACTGTTGGTTTGGAGTCAGAGTTTTCCAACTTCCCTAGATGATTCCTTGATATCCACCAACCCGGTTAAAGCGTTGGCCATTCGCTTTTTCATCCTCTCAATTTCGTAAACGATTTCTCCACCGCTAAAATGAAGTGAGTAGGACTTTCATAAGAGTGGCCGGATACGCGTGACCACGTGAGAGCATTTCAGAAGTGAGGGCTGATTTTTTCCACCCTTGGTCTTACCAGGGCATTTGGGGGCTAAAAGTTCAAGGTTACGTAGATCGTTAATCAATCAGTAGTATATAACTCATTTTTCAGCCGAAGATTCATAAAAGTCCCTACGAGCTAAGAGCTGTATTTACGAGATCTAGTTTGAATACTTTAAAATAGATACCTACAAATAGTTACTTCATAGATGGAGTTATTAGAAAGTGTATAGAACTCAAGAGATAATTATGATATGTAGTGCAAAAAAGGAGTACCACAATGTAAACAAGCCTAATATTTATCAGCATCCATGACTGAGTTTTATAGTTCTGCGAACCATAATTAACGTCAGATATGTACACTTTAATACTACTGCTTGATTTCAACATAAAAT